TCAAATTCTGTGCAGTCCTGGAGTACATGCTCTGCTGTCTGGGGCACATTTCCACAGTTGCACATGGCTGATACACCTATCTTGAATTTTGTGTACATGTGGTTACATATTCAGTTGTGCCCTGTTCTGAGGCGGAGGATAATGACTTGTTCTGGTCTGTCCATAATAAAATAGTCGTCTTTTGCTGGGGGCTGGTGGTTTCCTGATCGATTTAATTATTCTTTTCTGTTGGTGGTATGTGACTGGTACATCCGGCTGCTCTTTTGTCACACCTTCTCCTGCCAGTTGATCAGCTTTCTCATTTCCAGGCACTCCACAATGAGACCGTATCCACTGCATTACGACTCTTCGCTGAAGGCTGAATTGTGTCAGCGGTGTTTGCAATTCTGGTAGTTTCCTATGAATTAATCGAGTAACAGAAAGTGTATTGATCGGCACTCATAGAAAGAAGTAGAAAGATAGAAGAATACACTAGACAACATCCGGCACGGTAACTATAGCTTTCGATTTTTATGTTGTCTAGTGTGTTCTTATATCTTTCTACTTCTTTCTATGAGTGCCGATCAATAAACTTTCTGTTACTCGATTAATTCATAATATTTAACGGCCTCAAAGGTTCCCCCTCTGTTTATTTATAGGAATGGTAGTTTCCTAGACTGGAGTGCTTCAAGTACTGATTTAGCATCTGTCAGCATTACCACATACTGTGAGCCAAGATTGGTATTTAGCAGTTTCTCTGTTGCTATCTTGATAGCTTGAGTTTCTGCATCATAGTTATGGCAGTACTTCCCGGTTGGTACGCTGGACTTATCCCTAGTACCATCTGGGAATTCAATGTACACTCCAGCACCACCATTTCTAACTGCACTTTGTGCGGACCCATCTGTATAGACTCTGACCCATTGTTCTTGTGGGTATTCTTCATCAATATAACTGAGGGTGGCCATTCTGCGTTGTACACTATCTCGCTCTTTCTTGTCAAATATCCCTTTCACATTTGTCTGGATTTGTACTGTTAGTTTTCATTTTTCTCTCCATGGGGTTTGTTCCGGAATACTTTTAAGTGGGCAACCAATTTCTGGAAGGTCAGGAGTGTGTCTACATATTCTTTTTGCTTGGTGTATAAAGCTACTTCCTGTTAACCGTCCCAAGGCTAGGTTCTTAAATCTATTTTCCATCGGGTGATCTGGCATACTGAGGAACTTTTCAGCTTGTATTTGCAACGTGGTATCTCTGCGTTCTCTCAGTGCCTGTATTTTCCCAGCTTTCTCCATTTCTAATATGGGGGGTTGATTTCATCCCTCATGTGATGACTCTGAGCGCTTGATTTTGCACTTTCTCCAACTCCTTTAATGTGGTACTAGATGCTGAACACCATGCAGCTGACCCATATTCCAAGTGTGGTTGTATGCTCTGCTTGTATACTTTATTGAGTATTTTCCCATCGGCTCCCTATGTGGTTCCACTTAGTTTTCTTAGTATTGCTGTCTTCCTACTGGCTTTGGTTGCTGCCTTGTTGAATTGTTTTCTCCATGTCAACCTGTCATCAAATGTGACTCCTAGGTATGTGGGCTCTTTATCATCTCTTAGGGGTATTCCGTTTATTTTGATGATGCCCGCTTTTTGCTTTCGGGGAAGGGTGAAAAGTGTGGTGCTACATTTGTCTGTGTTGATGCTGACACAGCATCTATTGGCCCATGCTTCAAGTGTATTGTAGCCCGCTGTAGTGTATTTGTGGCTATTGTTGCATGTTCATTGGTGCACCACAGTACCAGGTCGTCAGCATAAATTGCCATTGTGATTCCATTTGGTATCTCAGCAACCAGGTCGTTGATGAAAAAGAGGAAAAGTGTGGGCGACAGGACACCACCTTGAGGGACGCCTTGTCGCAGTAGAACTTTTTTACTTTTAAAACCATCTACCTGTACCCTGGCTCTTCTGTTATGTAGGTATGGTTTATTCCAATTGTACGTTCTTCCATTTACTTTATAGTTTCTCAATTTCTTCAAAAGCCCCTCCTTCCAAACCTTATCAAAAGCTTTCCTTAAATCTATCCATGCCGCGAGTACCAGTTTCTTATCTTGAAAAGCCTCCTCTATTTCTTGGGAGAGGTATGTTGTCTGGTCTTCCATAGAGTAGAACTTTCTAAAGCCCGCCTGCTGTGGTGTAATGATGTTTTCACTTTCAATGTACCACTGTAGTCTGAGGTTGGTGATGCGCTCCATTGTTTTACAGAGACAGCTTGTGAGGCTGATCGGTCTGTAGTTGGAGGCATTAGAACTGTCTTTCCCAGGCTTTATGAGGGTTTTCATAATTGCCGCTCTCCAGATCTGTGGAACATTTCCTGTTGCCCAGGAAGCATTAAATATCTATAAAAGCTTTGTTTTGGCCACTGTTCCTAAGTTTTTGATCATTTAATTAGATATACCATCTGCTCCTGATGACTTTCACATTTTCAGCATGAAATGGCCAACTCCAGTTCATTAAGTGTAAATTGGCACCTCTAGCACCTCTGATGTTATTTTTTCTGACTTCTAAATTGTGTCTTTTCTTGAATTTCGTGTTTTTTCTCTGAACTGATTTCAATGTCGTTATCTAAAGCAAAAGTGTCCGCAAATAGGTTGGCTGCCTCTTTCCCTGTGACCATGTTTCCATCTTTCAGCAGCGTGATCTTTGAGTTCCACCCTGTGTCCTCATCATTAATTTGTTTCACAAGCTTCCATAACTTTCTTGTGTCTTTTTCAAAGTTCAGCGACCTTGTTTTCTCCTGCCAGCTTTCCCTTCTAACCTGCAGCTTTGCCCTTACAAATTTTGCTTTTGCATGCTGGTAGTTATTGTGATGTTCTTGGTTTGGCCTTGTCTCTGCTTTCTTTCTGGATGTTTCTACTTCGCTATGTAAATTTTCTAGCTCATTACTCCAGTATGGCTTATAATGCTTACGGGCACCTCTTGGTATTGATTCTCCTGCTGCCTTTAGTACGCATTTCTTAAATTCTTTAACTACTTTGTTTATATCCTGGTCTACGCTGAGACTTCCAAACAGTATACTGGTACGGTGCTTGATATTGTCCGGTCAGCCTTCTTGTAGTTCCACCTTGGCAGCGTACTAGTTTCTCTGACCTTCTCATTTTCTACATTCAGGAAGACTGGTCGATGGTCACTGACTCCCAGTTGATTTCCAACAACTCGTTTAATATTCCATTCCAGATCTGGAGAGTGAAATGCTAGGTCTGGGGTAGTAGTGGTGTGCCACGACCTCGAGGAGAATGTGGGTGGATCAGTTGGCCTATTAATCAGAACAAGTCTGTTCTCATCCTGCCACTCCTCCAGTTTCTCTCCTCTCTGGTCTATATGGTCGTATCCCCAGCTTTGTGAGTGGCTGTTAAAGTCTCCACATAGAATCATCTTTTCTTCCACTGAGATTGTGTCTAATGCCTGGGGACGATCACTTGGACAGTAATAATTGATCAGGTAGAAGTCTGCATTTCCAGTTTGTAGTTTCAGAATCTGATATTCTGCTCCATCCATATACACTTCAGTCTGGCACGCAGTGATATTGTTCCTCACAAGAGTCAGTATTCCACCCTTTTTCCTGCCTTTCCGGTCTGATCGGAAGCACTGATAACCTCTGATTTTGAAGACTGTGTCTTCCGGGAGATGAGTTTCCTGTAGACAGCATATATGTATCTGTTCCTCATTTAGAATATTTTTGAACTCTAGCTTTTTATTTGTAATCTCCTCTGCATTCCAGTGCATTAATTTGACTCTTTTCTTAGTTCGGCCAGATGCTCTATTCTCACGTCCCATGGCTCCACAGGACATTTGAGAAGGACCTCCAGTAATTTGGGTTGGGCCTCTTTGAGGCAGAGGGCCCAACACTGCTCCTGCCTGAGAGTCCATCACAGGGCGAGCACCATAACGTTTTGCTGATTTAGACATATTTTCATGACGTGTGTGCGTGTCATCCTGACTGCTGTGGTGCGCCTCTTGGCTGGTTGCCTCCGACTTCAGCACCTTGTTGTGCAAGGGTAGACTGTGATCATACTGGAGGAGAGTAGGCTCATCCATTCGTCTTTCGCCTTTACCTCGTTTGTTGTCCCATCCAGTTTTCCGCTGGGGGTTGAGATCCCAACTTTCAACTGCATTGCTGGGAAGAACAGGGTCCACCACGTGAAGGTGATGTAGTCTTGAGCAAGAGAGGCTAATAGACATTTAGAGTCTTGTATTGCGCATCATTGCTCCATTAGGACTGTTGAGTATTGTTGTGTTGTTCGTCCATCACAGGTGATGCTGATCAATCCTTTCATCCAATGGCGACTAGATTAGTTTTTGTAGGTGGCTGATAAAGCTAATTCTAACACTGAAAGTTCTTGAGCAGCGTGGACAGGGAATTAAAGCCGCATCTCTCTTGTGATTTGCTTCAGTGTCTTTCCTGGCTTGCTGCTGCAGTTCTAGCAGCTTCACGGGCCACAGCTACATGTATGAACAATCTGGTACACATATTTCATCATTCTCATCCTTCATGTGCCATTAGACGGCACATGGGGTTTGCATTCGATTTATCCACTTGCTCTTTTGCATGCAACTTTCTCGATTTATGACATGGAGTTGAGCCCAGCATCTCTAGCTTCTCCTAATAACGTTCTTTTTTATGTTTTCCTTAGGACGTCCTTTTTTTCTTTTCTTAGACCGTTTGTTTCCTATGTTAATGTTTTTTTTTTAAAATAATTCTTCTCGTCTCAGAGTGTGCCCAGTAGGACTCCTCATTCTTTGTCTTATTGCAGTCAATACAGGCGGGTGTTTGTCCAAAGGTTTCTCTAATCCCCTCACTTTAAAAAAAAATTAATTCCATTTTCTTTTCATGAACTTTCTCAGACATTTGTTGTCAAATGCATTTAACCTTCATTACATATCTTTGATAGTTTCCAACTTTTGCTGGCATGTTTTAGAACTGAAATAACGTAAGAACTGAAAAACTCTATTTGTTTGTATTCTTTCAGCTCCCGATTACAGCCGTGAGTCGTGGTTTACAGTGAAACATACTCTCGGTCTCGCCTTTCCCAATGTAAGAAACAGCTCTTTCCTTTTTGCTTTTCAAATTTAAGTTTTGTTGCTTTTCATTTCGCCTTTATCAAATTATAATGATAATAATAATTATTGCGATAATAAACACTGTACTTGAAAAGGATTCTTTCAAAAAACATACTCAGAAGTAACCTTCCTGTTTAAATATGGCGAGTAAATTTGGTATGATTCAATAATAATAATTGCCCGTGTGGTTTCTTGTGCCTCATTGTGGGGAAAACAACAATAGACACACTGCCTAAAAAGCCTGCCCTAAGAGTAGATAATTGGGAGCTTCCTTCGAAGTCAAAGGACTTTCCATCGGATCATGAAAAAAGTAAAAAAAAAAAAAAAACGAATAATAATGAAAATCCAAAAGTGATTCTTCAGCTCAACTTAATATTGGAAGGTACCAAACAGCACAATACAGATCAAAATATAAAATTTATAGAGGTTTTAAAATGGAATTCAAACATTTATTGCGTTTAATTTGTATTTAATACTACTTAAGTCAGTCAGTAATGTATGTAGAGATTATAATGGGGAATACAAACCACATATAGTATTTAATTTAGACTTATGAAGTCACACTTGCCATCACCATGGGCAGTGAGTCCCATGCCTCCTTATAGTGCAATATAACACTTTCGTATGGAAAGATGCAAATTAATAAAGTTACAACTATTGAACTCAGTCTGTAATGTAAGCAGAGCTGAGTTAATCTGAGGCCATTTTAGAGCCACAAAAATAATGTTTGTTTTGTATACATAACATCACAGAAAGCACATCCTTTAGTTAGTGTCCTGTGGATGTTTTCTCCAGATCATGCGAGAAATGAGCAGTCTGACTGATTGGCTGGTACTGCTCTACTGGGAGGTGACTTGATGCATGACAGGTCAGACAGATTGGCTGGTACTGCTCTACTGGGAGGTGACTTGATGCATGACAGGTCAGACAGATTGGCTGGTACTGCTCTACTGGGAGGTGACTTGATGCATGACAGGTCAGAGAGATTGGCTGGTACTGCTCTACTGGGAGGTGACTTGATGCATGACAGGTCAGACAGATTGGCTGGTACTGCTCTACTGGGAGGTGACTTGATGCATGCCAGGTCAGAGAGATTGGCTGGTACTGCTCTACTGGGAGGTGACTTGATGCATGACAGGTCAGAGAGATTGGCTGGTACTGCTCTACTTGGAGGTGACTTGATGCATGACAGGTCAGACAGATTGGCTGGTACTGCTCTACTGGGAGGTGATGCATGCCAGGTCAGAGAGATTGGCTGGTACTGCTCTACTGGGAGGTGATGCATGCCAGGTCAGAGAGATTGGCTAGTACTGCTCTACTGGGAGGTGACTTGATGCATGACAGGTCAGACAGATTGGCTGGTACTGCTCTACTGGGAGGTGACTTGATGCATGACAGGTCAGACAGATTGGCTGGTACTGCTCTACTGGGAGGTGACTTGATGCATGCCAGGTCAGAGAGATTGGCTGGTACTGCTCTACTGGGAGGTGACTTGATGCATGACAGGTCAGAGAGATTGGCTGGTACTGCTCTACTTGGAGGTGACTTGATGCATGACAGGTCAGACAGATTGGCTGGTACTGCTCTACTGGGAGGTGATGCATGACAGGTCAGAGATTGGCTGGTACTGCTCTACTGGGAGGTGATGCATGCCAGGTCAGAGAGATTGGCTGGTACTGCTCTACTGGGAGGTGATGCATGCCAGGTCAGAGAGATTGGCTAGTACTGCTCTACTGGGAGGTGACTTGATGCATGACAGGTCAGACAGATTGGCTGGTACTGCTCTACTTGGAGGTGACTTGATGCATGACAGGTCAGACAGATTGGCTGGTACTGCTCTACTGGGAGGTGACTTGATGCATGACAGGTCAGACAGATTGGCTGGTACTGCTCTACTGGGAGGTGACTTGATGCATGACAGGTCAGACAGATTGGCTGGTACTGCTCTACTGGGAGGTGACTTGATGCATGACAGGTCAGAGAGATTGGCTGGTACTGCTCTACTGGGAGGTGACTTGATGCATGCCAGGTCAGAGAGATTGGCTGGTACTGCTCTACTGGGAGGTGACTTGATGCATGCCAGGTCAGAGAGATTGGCTGGTACTGCTCTACTGGGAGGTGACTTGATGCATGACAGGTCAGAGATTGGCTAGTACTGCTCTACTGGGAGGTGACTTGATGCATGACAGGTCAGATTGGCTGGTACGGCTCTACTTGGAGGTGACTTGATGCATGCCAGGTCAGAGAGATTGGCTGGTACTGCTCTACTGGGAGGTGACTTGATGCATGACAGGTCAGACAGATTGGCTGGTACGGCTCTACTGGGAGGTGACTTGATGCATGACAGGTCAGAGAGATTGGCTGGTACTGCTCTACTGGGAGGTGACTTGATGCATGACAGGTCAGAGAGATTGGCTGGTACTGCTCTACTGGGAGGTGACTTGATGCATGACAGGTCAGAGAGATTGGCTGGTACTGCTCTACTGGGAGGTGACTTGATGCATGACAGGTCAGACAGATTGGCTGGTACTGCTCTACTGGGAGGTGACTTGATGCATGACAGGTCAGACAGATTGGCTGGTACTGCTCTACTGGGAGGTGACTTGATGCATGACAGGTCAGACAGATTGGCTGGTACGGCTCTACTGGGAGGTGACTTGATGCATGACAGGTCAGAGAGATTGGCTGGTACTGCTCTACTGGGAGGTGACTTGATGCATGACAGGTCAGACAGATTGGCTGGTACTGCTCTACTGGGAGGTGACTTGATGCATGACAGGTCAGAGAGATTGGCTGGTACTGCTCTACTGGGAGGTGACTTGATGCATGACAGGTCAGAGAGATTGGCTGGTACTGCTCTACTGGGAGGTGACTTGATGCATGACAGGTCAGATTGGCTGGTACGGCTCTACTTGGAGGTGACTTGATGCATGACAGGTCAGATTGGCTGGTACTGCTCTACTTGGAGGTGACTTGATGCATGACAGGTCAGATTGGCTGGTACGGCTCTACTTGGAGGTGATGCATGACAGGTTAGATCTGGGCAAGGCCCTCTGGGAGAAAGTGAACGACCTGGAAGCGCGAACATATCTTAACTGTGTAGAGAGAATGGTGCAGCAGGGGAGTGACCAGGGGGTCTGACTGATACTCTACACTCAGAGGAAGACAAGGCAAATATATCATCAAAGTTTTACTGGTACATTCAGCACTAAAAGTCTGCACTGGTTGCTGAAGATGAGGACAGCTCGATTACGGTAATGTCCCGACTGCTGTGATGTCAGTTCTGGGCCCAGTCCATCTTTAGCGAACTTTGCACACTTACCCCAGCATTTTATGTGTGCCTGAATGTGGTTTTAACTAGGTAATTTGACATTTCATAGTTTGGTAATCTAGTTATCCTAGTTTCAGCTTCATAGCAAACGGGTCACCCCATAATTGCTCCGCTCCTGTGCCAACTAAAAACACGTAGCTCACAGTGTCACGCCATGCACTCAACTAAGAAATACTCCACAGCGGTCTGCTGTGAAATCACCCGCAGCTGAAGCTAACCGGGTATTTCTGAATTACAAATATCATGTAGTAAATTTAGGGCCTGTTTGGGTCACATTAGAATCATTTTTGTCCATCAGGAAATCTTGTTTGTATTGTGCGTCTTACATACTTATGTTTTCTGCGATACACCAAGTAATATATATAGCTCATTATTACAAATTCTTGTGACTGACAGCTGCCCTATTTGATTGATGGGGACATCAGAATAACACAGAGTAATGCCATTTTGAACTATTTGGCTTCCAAGTTTGGTTTGTGTAAGTATAATCTGTTCACCCGTCTTTTCTCAAATTATTCACTATGTGCCGTACTAATAACCCACAGAACATTATGTATATATTGTATCTATAACCAGTGTGTCAGAAAAGTCGATTAAATTGGGGTCTTTTTTCCTGAGTCAGGGCGCCTCTGAGACAAGGAACCAGCCAGGCTGCAATTAAATAAGAGAGATCTTTAAAATCAATGTACATGCAAAACTCAAGCTCTGGAACAAGATTCAAGTGCAGAAGTGAGTGAAGAACCTACAATTTCCGCTGTTTACAGCCGGTAAATGGCAAGGAGAAGAAGATAACTCAGAGGCACTGACGTCATGTTTCACCATCTCATTGATACTTCAGTCCGAGACGAAACGTTGTTTATTTTTACCCCTTTCATTTATTTGCTCGGAATCTACAGTATTGGTTTCCGATTGACTTTTATCTGTCCGTCTATTTATTGTTATGATATGGAATAGGAGAGAATGTTTTATAACAAAACAAAATTTGTTAGCATCAAGAGAAAGACATCCGAAGCTGTAAAAAAGGATGCGAAGAGGAAGAAAAGAAGAGGATAAATGCAAAAGAGAAGAGTCCATTATATGGAATGTAAATTTCCTGAAAATCAGTAGACATGCCTGATTGTGTTACTGAAATCCTTGAGGAAGCAAAGAACAGAACTGATGCATCCTACCTGGCAAGTTGTAAAAAGTTATTTGTTTGTGGGTTGACTGTCTCATTCAGCAACAACAGCTGCATAATCTGACCAGTCATAAACTAGTCTAAAAGAGAACAAGTAATTATTCAGCCAACCCCATTTCAGGGAGGCTTGACACCCAGAAGAAACATGAAGAAATGCAGAAAAAGGAGGGAAAGAATAATAGATTATCTACTTTTACCTTTGACAATCTACAGAAAGGGCACCTGAAATATTAAAACTATCAATGAACGGGGATGTGTAGCAAGTGAAAGGACAAGGCATGAGTTGGTTGTGATCCTAAGATTAATTGAAAAAAATGGGGGTTGGGAATATAAAGTGGAAGCAAAACAGAGGAGGAGGGGAATTAATAATAATCAACTGTTATCTGGAATATTCTGAGAAAACATTCTGTATCAAATAGCTAAAAAATTCAATATGTATTATTTGGTGAACACTGCGGCGGCGGCGGTAACTTTCACCTGCTGCAGTTCTGCCTTCAGATCGGTTATCGCGCTCATCAATTCAGGATCTCTGATACTGATCTCCTTCCTCTCTGGTGTTCTGTTTTTGGCTGGGCGAGTGGGTTGGCTTTTTGTGGTGCTCGGTCTGGGTGTCTCCTACCTCTGCTGGTGTCTGGGTCCGGCATTAGTCATCGCCATCTTCATCTGCTTGAGGTACGGATAACCCAGGTACCCCGCGCTGTGGGCCATTCCACAGTTTGAGCATCGTCTGCTTGGATTGGGTTTCTTGAAGTCAGGGTCCTCCTTAGCCAGGGGGCACTCCTTGAATTCGTGCGGCTTGGAGCAGTAGCGTCATGCTGGGCTGCTGCGGCAAGTTGCGGCTGTGTGCCACGCCTTATTACAGCGTCAACACTGTACAACTTCTGCAGTGTGGGCTCCCGTTCGTTGCTGCTGCCTGAGTGGGCGGGTGTTGGTGGGTCCCTGCACCACGACTGGGGCGACTTCTGAGTGTGATGCTGCCTCGACAGGCGCTACATCGGAAGCTGGCGGCGTCTGGGTGGGTGAGGCTGGCGTCTCGATAGTGACGTCAGTCAGTGCTGGCATCGTCTGCACCGTAAGAGCTGGTGTGACAGGTGCTACCTCCTTGCTAGCCGATGTAGATCTGGTATCTCAGCGCTGGCTCTGGTTAGGTCTCTGCTGGCAGTTTTTACCTCGGCCACGTCCCATCTTGTCAGTGCGGGTAGATCAGGTACTTGGCGAAAGCTTTCAACTGACAGGTCGGCAAGGCTTGTTAAGTATCCTTAAAAGGACACCAAGCGTGCTCCCAGTCAGTATCCAGACAATCGTTTCAACAATAGTAAGTATTCGGGCTGCTAATAACCCAAACGCAGACGATCGCGATAGCGTAGTCAGGACAAACTCAGCCGAATATCAAGCGAGTAATTGTCCAGTATCTAGCTATCAAGAATCAGGCTACGAATGGGTAGTTAAAGGGCGACGGGTCGAGACACAAGTGGCTTATCGGACGGTTGAGCGAGCGACTGATTATGTTCTTGGATGCAGGCAGATGAAACGTTTGACCACTGCGAAGCCAGGCAAGTGGGATGACCACTGCGAAGCCAGGCAAGTGGGATGACCACTGCGAAGCCAGGCAAGTGGGATGACCACTACGAAGCCATGCAAATGAGATGACCACTGAGAAGCCAGGCAAGTGGGATGACCACTGCGAAGCCAGGCAAGTGGGATGACAACTGTGAAGCCAGGCAAGTAGGATTTACCACTGCGAAGCCGGGCAAGTGGGATGATCTCCCAATAATCATCCACCACACATCACCGCTCGCTCTACCGCCCGATAACGCAGACGTACCAGCCAATTGTTACTCGTTTGTCTAGTGAACTGAGGAGGAAGCACGCTTGGGTGTTCTTTTCAGAATACTCTAACAAGCCTTGCCTACTCCGAAGGGACCTAGCTTTCGACAGCAGCCTTTGAAGTACCGCCTCTGCCAGCCAGCCACAGCCACACGAAACCATGGCCCGTGGCAAGAAGATTCCTACCCAGCACCAGGAAACCAGGTCGACCTGGAGGACAGCCACAAAAACCCAATGTCTGAGGTCTCCACCATCAAAAAAGACCTGACAGAAACAAAAGCAAAGATCACCAAAGTCAGTAAGGCGAACGAACAAGTGGAGAAAGACCTAGCAGCCACCAACATCGTAATTGAAGCTCGGGAGGAGGCCAGGAAATCAGCAGCCAGAAGAAATCAGATTCAAGCGGCAAAACCCCAGGCCAAGACTCAAGGAGAACCAGAGGAAGAGAGTGCGGAAGATGAGATAGAAGCCCTTGAGACCTCCATCAAAGAAATGCGGGAGAGGTACAAACAGGTCATGCACCCACACGGAATCGAATTCATCAAGGGCGAGTACAAGATCCAGTTCTGCAGGGAAGCACTGGCCAAGGAGGGCCGAGTGCCAGTCGGGCCAATCAGAACCAGACGCATGAATTTCATGGTAATGCGCGACCAACTCAATGCAGCCCATGCGAAACTCTGCAAAGCGAAAGAACTACAAGAACCCAAAGCAATCAGCCAACCAGAACTGCCCTAGCCGCCATGACACCTGCCTAAACCCAGTTCACCGGACCGGAAAGCCCACCTGCGCAACAGTCCCGCCCACTCCCCGGAGTCAGACCTACGCCCACCCACCACCACACAGGCCGTGCCAGGCATACCCTACTAGTCCTTTTCAGGACTAGCAATCGTACCAAGCCCGATCCAAGCCACAGTTGCATGAACAGTAAGGAATCCTACAACTAGAAGTGAGACAACGACACACAAAAACCAAGAAACAAAAAACCGCAAAGAAACCAGGACGCAAATAAAACCAAGCCCCAGAGGCAGGTTGAAGCCGTCCGAAGTTTTTCGTTTTTTTTTCGAATTTTTCAAGCTCAAGCTCAAGTGGGATGATTACTGTGATACTGCCGGCATCAATAATATTTTCATATCTTATTTGTTTTTTTTTTAAACAAGGGAATTAATCACCAAATAGAAAATAAGCAAAGAATTAACTGCTTTCCTTCCTTTTGACCTGATAAACTTGGTTATGTTGACCTAGCCACAGGAGCAAAGTGACCCCACAATGAGATTGTTATGACCTAACGATGGTATGTCATCATTCTAAAAATACAAGTTTTTACTCCAATTAATATGTTTTCTTTTAAATAAATATATTCAGACCCAACAAGTCTGCACACCGTTTAGCTACAACCATTACTGTTATATCTGCATAGTGGCGTGGCCAAGAATAATTTTTCGTTATTTTGAAGCCCCAACCCGGTTATTGCCGGGGCCCTAATATAACCTAACGGTTGAACGAGGTTTCTGGGACCTCTCCACGAGTAATCCTCATCCGAATGGTGGTACTTTGTGTCACCGCGTGTTTATTGCTCTGTATGATGTAATGGTGGGGTAAAACATACACACATACATGGTACGTAATGTTATAAAAAAAACCATAAATGGCCAAAAATGTTATGTCTTGTGCGAACACTTATATATATTTTTGTCTTTTAATGTCTCCAACTCTAGGTGGAGAGACTGACAAGGTTAAAGCTGAAAATTTCATGATGGTAGAGAATGCTATGGACTTCAGAAATGGTCTTGCCAAGGTCCTGTACAATAGAGATTATGTAAGTGTCATGCTTGTTGTATTTCACTGATCTAATAAATTCCAGAGAAATTTGACTAAAAAGCTCAACAAAATGGGAAAGAGGAAAACGTGCACAAAACAACACAACGTAACGTTTCGGCCGGGCAACCTTTTTCAAACACAAGTGAAATACACAAACGAGGAATGGAGAGTATGTAGATCTCTAAGGGGTGACGTGAGCGACGTTTAAAAAAATATAAGGTTCTACTTCTGACTATAATTTCAACGACGGGCACACTGCTTTTGATAGTAGTTGAATTTGTACTTCAGTTATCAAGGATTCACCTGTTTGCTTCATTTTTTCAAAGGTCTGAATGATTAAATATGCACTTTGGGTTTGTTTTGGACCCCTCAGTTTAAGAAAACTCGGTTCCCCTTAGCTTCAGAAAACTCAGTTTCTCTTAGCTTCAGAAAAACTCGGTCCCCCTTAGCTTCAGAAAACTCGTTCCCCTTTAGCTTCAGAAAACTTGGTTTCTCTTAGCTTCAGGAATCTGTGGTAACACCACCACGAGCATGTTATGGCCTGTGGTTGCCTTACCTCCCTACCTACAATTGACAGCATTATTTGGAAAGACAGAAAGGCGCCAACAACATATAATCTATGTGTTAATTTAATTTATCATACATTTTGTATCATGTCTTCTTCTTACAGAGTAAACTGATAGATGATTACTTCACAACTGTCCACACAACACTGAAAGCTTTTGATACATTTCTCGAGGGCAGAACTTGGTTTGCTGGTGGCAAAAATGTAAGTACCAGATGGTGAAGTGTAACTGTTACCCAGTGGCAAGTTTAAGTAGCCCTTCTCCTTGAAGAAGTATGATGCAGTGTGGGTAAAGTCTTCAGAAGCTTAGATCAGACTTACAGCCCTTCATCGAGGAACTCTTTATAACTGAAACCTGGAATGTTAAAATAATGTGTGAGTTAGAACTAGCAAAACACCTCAAGTTAATTATCACACAAATCAATTAGCGAAATGTATGAGGCTGTGAAAATATCATGACCTTGGAGAGAAGATTATCTGCAGGTTTGCAAATAAAGACGATTTGTGGGAGGAAAAAAAAAAAAAAAAAGAAATATTTGTTATCAATTCTTTGGAAAGCAAGTTTGATTTCTAGTGACAAGTCTTCCCTGTGTGGGTTCCAGGGCCCCTTTTAGGGGAATTATAGGGGTCGGAGGTGTAGACCAACCGCTTTCCCCCGAAAATCAGCATGCTGAAATGTTGACTAATTAGAGGTTCCTCTGAATTGGGGGTCGGAGGTGTAGACCAACCGCTTTCCCCCGAAAATCAGCATGCTGAAATGTTGACTAATTAGAGGTTCCTCTGAATTGGGGGTCGGAGGTGTAGACCAACCGCTTTCCCTCGAAAATCAGCATGCTGAAATGTTGACTAATTAGAGGTTCCTCTGAATTGGGGGTCAGAGGTGTAGACCAACCGCTTTCCCTCGAAAATCAGCATGCTGAAATGTTGACTAATTAGAGGTTCGACAACCTCTATTCCCTCGAAATCCTCTGAATTGGGGTCTCTGAATTGGGGGTCGGAGGTGTAGACCAACCGCTTTCCCTCGAAAATCAGCATGCTGAAATGTTGACTAATTAGAGGTTCCTCTGAATTGGGGGGTCAGAGGTGTAGATCAACTGCTTTCCCCCCCCCCTCGAAAATCAGCATGCTGAAATGTTGACTAATTAGAGGTTCCTCTGAATTGGGGGTCGGAGGTGTAGACCAACCGCTTTCCCTCGAAAATCAGCATGCTGAAATGTTGACTAATTAGAGGTTCCTCTGAATTGGGGGTCAGAGGTGTAGACCAACCGCTTTCCCTCGAAAATCAGCATGCTGAAATGTTGACTAATTAGAGGTTCCTCTGAATTGGGGGTCGGAGGTGTAGACCAACCGCTTTCCCTCGAAAATCAGCATGCTGAAATGTTGACTAATTAGAGGTTCCTCTGAATTGGGGGTCAGAGGTGTAGACCAACCGCTTTCCCTCGAAAATCAGCATGCTGAAATGTTGACTAATTAGAGGTTCCTCTGAATTGGGGGTCAGAGGTGTAGACCAACCGCTTTCCCCCGAAAATCAGCATGCTGAAATGTTGACTAATTAGAGGTTCCTCTGAATTGGGGGTCAGAGGTGTAGACCAACCGCTTTCCCTCGAAAATCAGCATGCTGAAATGTTGACTAATTAGAGGTTCCTCTGAATTGGGGGTCAGAGGTGTAGACCAACCGCTTTCCCTCGAAAATCAGCATGCTGAAATGTTGACTAATTAGAGGTTCCTCTGAATTGGGGGTCAGAGGTGTAGATCAACCGCTTTCCCTCGAAAATCAGCATGCTGAAATGTTGACTAATTAGAGGTTCCTCTGAATGGGGGTCAGAGGTGTAGATCAACCGCTTTCCCTCGAAAATCAGCATGCTGAAATGTTGACTAATTAGAGGTTCCTCTGAATTGGGGGTCAGAGGTGTAGATCAACCGCTTTCCCTCGAAAATCAGCATGCTGAAATGTTGACTAATTAGAGGTTCCTCTGAATTGGGGGTCAGAGGTGTAGATCAAACCGCTTTCCCTCGAAAATCAGCATGCTGAAATGTTGACTAATTAGAGGTTCCTCTGAATTGGGGGTCAGAGGTGTAGATCAACCGCTTTCCCTCGAAAATCAGCATGCTGAAATGTTGACTAATTAGAGGTTCCTCTGAATTGGGGGTCAGAGGTGTAGACCAACCGCTTTCCCTCGAAAATCAGCATGCTGAAATGTTGACTAATTAGAGGTTCCTCTGAATTGGGGTCAGAGGTGTAGACCAACCGCTTTCCCTCGAAAATCAGCATGCTGAAATGTTGACTAATTAGAGGTTCCTCTGAATTGGGGGTCAGAGGTGTAGACCAACCGCTTTCCCTCGAAAATCAGCATGCTGAAATGTTGACTAATTAGAGGTTCCTCTGAATTGGGGGTCAGAGGTGTAGACCAACCGCTTTCCCCCTCGAAAATCAGCATGCTGAAATGTTGACTAATTAGAGGTTCCTCTGAATTGGGGGTCAGAGGTGTAGACCAACCGCTTTCCCTCGAAAATCAGCATGCTGAAATGTTGACTAATTAGAGGTTCCTCTGAATTGGGGGTCAGAGGTGTAGACCAACCGCTTTCCCTCGAAAATCAGCATGCTGAAATGACTAAAGAGGTGTCTGAATTGGGGTCAGAGGTGTAGACCAACCGCTTTCCCTCGAAAATCAGCATGCTGAAATGTCCTCTGAATTGGGTCAGAGGTCAGAGAGGTGTAGACCAACCCGCTTTCCCTCGAAAATCAGCATGCTGAAATGTTGACTAATTAGAGGTTCCTCTGAATTGGGGGTCAGAGGTGTAGACCAACCGCTTTCCCTCGAAAATCAGCATGCTGAAATGTTGACTAATTAGAGGTTCCTCTGAATTAGAGGTGTAGATCAACCGCTTTCCCCTCGAAATCAGCATGCTGAAATGTTGACTAATTAGAGGTCAGAGGTGAGGTGTAGACCAACCGCTTTCCCTCGAAAATCAGCATGCTGAAATGTTGACTAATTAGAGGTCCTCTGAATTGGGGGTCAGAGGTGTAGATCAACCGCTTTCCCTCGAAAATCAGCATGCTGAAATGTTGACTAATTAGAGGTTCCTCTGAATTGGGGGTCAGAGGTGTAGATCAACCGCTTTCCCTCGAAAATCAGCATGCTGAAATGTTGACTAATTAGAGGTTCCTCTGATTGGGGGTCAGAGGTGTAGATCAACCGCTTTCCCTCGAAAATCAGCATGCTGAAATGTTGACTAATTAGAGGTTCCTCTGAATTGGGGGTCAGAGGTGTAGATCAACCGCTTTCCCTCGAAAATCAGCATGCTGAAATGTTGACTAATTAGAGGTTCCTCTGAATTGGGGGTCAGAGGTGTAGACCAACCGCTTTCCCTCGAAAATCAGCATGCTGAAATGTTGACTAATTAGAGGTTCCTCTGAATTGGGGGTCAGAGGTGTAGACCAACCGCTTTCCCTCGAAAATCAGCATGCTGAAATGTTGACTAATTAGAGGTTCCTCTGAATTGGGGGTCAGAGGTGTAGACCAACCGCTTTCCCTCGAAAATCAGCATGCTGAAATGTTGACTAATTAGAGGTTCCTCTGAATTGGGGGTCAGAGGTGTAGACCAACCGCTTTCCTCCCTCGAAAATCAGCATGCTGAAATGTTGACTAATTAGAGGTTCCTCTGAATTGGGGGTCAGAGGTGTAGACCAACCGCTTTCCCTCGAAAATCAGCATGCTGAAATGTTGACTAATTAGAGGTTCCTCTGAATTGGGGGTCAGAGGTGTAGACCAACCGCTTTCCCTCGAAAATCAGCATGCTGAAATGTTGACTAATTAGAGGTTCCTCTGAATTGGGGGTCAGAGGTGTAGACCAACCGCTTTCCCTCGAAAAATCAGCATGCTGAAATGTTGACTAATTAGAGGTTCCTCTGAATTGGGGGTCAGAGGTGTAGATCAACCGCTTTCCCCCGAAAATCAGCATGCTGAAATGTTGACTAATTAGAGGTTCCTCTGAATTGGGGGTCAGAGGTGTAGATCAACTGCTTTCCCCCGAAAATCAGCATGCTGAAATGTTGACTAATTAGAGGTTCCTCTGAATTGGGGGTCAGAGGTGTAGATCAACTGCTTTCCCCCGAAAATCGCAGCATGCTAAAATGTTGACTAATTAGAGGTTCCTCTGAATTGGGGGTCAGAGGTGTAGATCAACTGCTTTCCCCCCGAAAATCAGCATGCTCCCTGTTTGACTAATTAGAGGTTCCTCTGAATTGGGGGTCAGAGGTGTAGACCAACCGCTTTCCCTCGAAAATCAGCATGCTGAAATGTTGACTAATTAGAGGTTCCTCTGAATTGGGGGTCAGAGGTGTAGATCAACTGCTTTCCCCCGAAAATCAGCATGCTAAAATGTTGACTAATTAGAGGTTCCTCTGAATTGGGGGTCAGAGGTGTAGATCAACTGCTTTCCCCCGAAAATCAGCATGCTAAAATGTTGACTAATTAGAGGTTCCTCTGAATTGGGGGTCAGAGGTGTAGATCAACTGCTTTCCCCCGAAAATCAGCATGCTAAAATGTTGACTAATTAGAGGTTCCTCTGAATTGGGGGTCAGAGGTGTAGATCAACTGCTTTCCCCCGAAAATCAGCATGCTAAAATGTTGACTAATTAGAGGTTCCTCTGAATTGGGGGTCAGAGGTGTAGATCAACTGCTTTCCCCCGAAAATCAGCATGCTAAAATGTTGACTAATTAGAGGTTCCTCTGAATTGGGGGTCAGAGGTGTAGATCAACTGCTTTCCCCCGAAAAAATCAGCATGCTAAAATGTTGACTAATTAGAGGTTCCTCTGAATTGGGGGTCAGAGGTGTAGATCAACTGCTTTCCCCCGAAAATCAGCATGCTAAAATGTTGACTAATTAGAGGTTCCTCTGAATTGGGGGTCAGAGGTGTAGATCAACTGCTTTCCCCCGAAAATCAGCATGCTAAAATGTTGACTAATTAGAGGTTCCTCTGAATTGGGGGTCAAAGGTGTAGACCAACTGCTTTCTCCCGAAAAACAGCATGCTGAAATGTTGACTAATTAGAGGTTCCTCTGAATTGGGGGTCAAAGGTGTAGACCAACTGCTTTCTCCCGAAAAACAGCTTGCTGAAATGTTGACTAATTAGAGGTTCCTCTGTTGTCAGAGTGCATCTGCCTGAGAAGCAAGGAAGCAATAGACTGTAAACAAATTAGTCAGATCTGTAAAACGGATGTGCATGCAAAACTTAAGTTCAGGAATAAGTCTAAAGTTCAGAAGTGGATGAGCAACCATAAATTTTTGCCAGAGTTTAAAGCTAATAAATGCTCCAAAGAAGAAGTGGCAAGTCTGAGAATATCACTTCTAAAGGGGGTTCCTTTGTTGAAAAAAAAAAAAAATAGCAAATATCACTTCTGCAGGCTGTTTCTTTGTAAAAAAAAAAAGAAAGCAAATAACACTTCTATAAAATATATCAGTTGTTAACTACAGGGGAACAAAATATCTTCAATTAAATCGGTATTTAATGCATGCTACAATTTTGTATAAAAAAGACAGATGTTTTTCTTTTGTTTTTCACTTTGTCTATCACTGCTTCAGGTGTCATTGCAGATATAAGGTTCTACTTCTGACCATAATTAAAACGACGGGCACACTGATTTTGATAGAAGTTGAATTTGTACTTCAGTTATCAAGGATTCACCTGTTTGCTTACTTTTTTTAAATTGTAGTATACACCCGACAAGATACAATTAAATATGCGAGGCAATAAACTGATCTATGTATTGTTTATGTCTGCTCCGTACAAATTTACAACTTGAAAACATTGTTTTGATACGTTGTATACTTTCGTAGAGTTTCTGTGGTGTTGTCTTTTCTTCTTGGTCAGGTCTGCCGTGCTCTACATCCTTCTTCTCCTCCAGTTTATGCCTTTTATGATATAGCATTCTAAGACATTCTCTCTAGGTGTGCAGTCCTTTTATATCATTTATAATTTTTTCTGTTACTTTATTCCTGATTTTTTCTTTGCTCGTCACCCCTGCAGCCTTTCTGAGACATCCATTATTATTAATGTTGTTTTCTTGATTGATATGAGTGACCATGTCTTGCACAGGTAGCATGGGGAGGGAATGCTTGTGCCTTGTATGAGTTTTTCTGTGCTGACTGGGACTATTTTGTGTTGTAAGAGGGGAGAATCTGTCCCAGTTCTGGCTTTGCTTTACTGCATCAGTTGTTAATTTCTTCCCCCATCTTCTGTGAGTGTTGCTCTGAGATAATTAAATTTACATATCTTTTCAATACCTTTTCATATGAGATGTTGCAGTTTTATTGCTAGATCTGCTATCAAGGTTTCAGTAGTTTGTTAATGTTACTATTTTTGTACCTGATTGATTAACAAGTTTGGTTAACATTTTATTGTTTGTTTCACATGCAGCCAACAGCCTGTGACTTCCCTCTGTATGAGCTCCTGGACCAGCACCGCCTGATGAAGCCAGATATCCTCAAAGATTACAAAAACCTCCAAGCCTTCTTGAAAAGATTTGAGGAGCTGCCCCAGATCAAAGCCTACTTGCAGTCAGGTGAATTCTTCACACATCCTGTCAACAACAAGACTGCTGGTTGGAAATAATATTTCCGTTGTTTTCTAATGAAATTCCAATAAATGGCAACTTGCCCTCCCATACTACCTACTGGCCATGACATCAGTTCACTTTGAATCTCATACTTTGATTTCACATTGTTGATCACAAACTGCACTTATAGATTACCGCATGTGCTACACGTTAACAAACATGTTGATATACAGCTGTTGATCTGCAGTTATAGAAAGTAAAAATGAAGAAATTATCAAGTTTATGTTTATTCCAGGGATCAACATCATGGCAAACAGATGTAACCCATAAGTGCTCCATTCTACTTCTTACTCAAGCGTTAGTTCGGAGAAACTCAGTGCACTAACTCCGTTGCACCGGCGAGGATCTTGAAATACTTTGGGTAGATTTAAAATTCCAGATTTTGCCAGGGCAGTGCCGTTATGCTACTCTTCTCAATTAACAACTGCTATGGAATGTTTTAGGTGTGCAGTAATACACACGGGCGTCTGATCGTACTACCCAGAGACCAGAGGAAATTACTAGAAGTCCACATGAAAAAATCCTAGCCTTTCCCTGGGCTTGAACCAAGAACCCCCCATAACTCGAGGCGTACAGCACACCTTGAGACCATTCAGCTCGACCAAATTATCAATTAATGTAATAGACAACAAAAACACTGAAAGCTTAAGACACTTCAGGATCCGGACGTTTCAGCTTCAAACATTACAAATATGTCATTGCCATTTGCTTCGAATCTCATTCGGCTAGCATACCAACTCTGGCCAGGCTTTGCTGTCCATCTGTACTAATTTTGACAGGTTTAACGTCGGTCTGTGTCAGTTGTAGTCATTTCTAGCAGCAGGTGGCCACGTTTGTTGTCCATTTGTACCAGCGAGAGCTGTTTTTAGCTGCTCTAGCTTCTTGTGTGAACAGTTTTTCAAGTTGTCTGAACACTAAAATATGTGCAACAGTATGATCTATTTTCTTCTCAATGCTTTATGTTATCATGCACAGAAATGTCAATTTTTGGAGAACTTGTAATAAAATTCCTTTACTTTTATTAGTGCTCATCAATATTTGGGAATCTTATCCATCCACTTTGAAGACTTGGGCAACTGCAAAAATGATCAAGTGTTGTCAGTATCACAGATAAAAACACATTATGCTTTTCTCAGCACATTCTGGCAAAAGCTGATCACGTATAGTCCCTTGCTTGAGGCAAAGTTAGCAGTAACTTATTAATCTGGTGATTTTGTGACAAAATTAGCATCTTCGTTTATTTTCATTATTGGAAAAGCTGCAAGGGCTTCAAAGAAAGACAGAATACGAAATCAAAGAATTCAGACGAATGCTAGAAATAAAGCCAGTCTTACAGGTCATCAAAGAACAACAAATGAAGTGGTTTGGACAAAAGAACAAGAAGAAGAAGAAGAAGAAAAAAGAAGAAGTTTATTTTGAGTACAAATTCATTCTTATAGCAGCTTTATTTGATCATCATTTGAGAAGATTTGTCACATTATCCTGATGAAATAATCTGTTTCAGTGGAAAAAAAAAAAAAAAAAGCGATAAATGATATTTCATGTTTAATCAGAAAGGTAACTGATCGAAAGAATTATTTCCTTTATTGTATTTCTTTTTCTTTCATACATCGAGGTTCAAATTAATTCATTCCTTATTACTTTGTTTTAAATTAGTATACAAGTGGCCAGGTAAATACGTTTTGTTTTTACATTAAAAAATTCTCTGGTCTATTCTGTGTTTACTGTTTGAAAACTTTAATTATATTAAAAAATAGGAAGATAAGTAAGACTGAACCCAGCAGTTCTGTCTTCTTGAGATCACAAGAAATTAATATTCAGGAAATAAGATAAAAAGAATATAAAAGTGTGTACATCAATGAGAAAGGAAGAAGAAGGATTCAAGGAGTTAATGGAAGTTGCTAGCATTATTTCTGGCAATCCATTACTGTCCGCTAGAACTCATTATCCAAACATCACAAGTTGAGTGGCCAGCTATGGTTGACTTCCAGCCAGTAAAAAGATGTTTGATGTTCTCTTAAGTGTCAAATATTTTGAATTAGGAAGAGAAAAACTTTTAAGAAAAAGGAATACCTCCAGTGCTGCAGTCATAGCTTTAAATTCCCATGAAGGTGAGTTTTTAGAATATACCTCGACTATAGCTTAACTGAGTTAAAAATACTTACCAGGAAATGTCTGAGAAGTAAAGGCAGCCTAGATAATATTGACTAAACCACGCCTACTTCATCTGCCTGCATGTGGAACTACTGATCTGTGCAGTAAGTTCTGCGACGAGCTGTCGATAATTTGAAGCTGGGTGATCTGCACAAACAATTAAACACCCGCTGCCCCTTCCCTCATCCTTGCCTAATCGCCACACCCGCTGCCCCTTCCCTCATCCTTGCCCAATCCCTACACCCGCTACCCCTTCCCTCATCCTTGCCTAATCCCCACACCTGCTGCCCGTCCCCTCATTCTTGCCTAATCCCCACACCTGCTAACCCTTCCCTCAAACTTGCCTAATCCCCCCACCCATTGCCCCTTCCCTCATCCTTGCCTAATCCCCACACCCACTGCCCCTTCCCTCATCCTTGCCTAATCCCCACACCCACTGCCCCTTCCCTCATCTTTGCCTAACCCCCACACCCACTGCCCCTTCCCTCATCCTTGCCTAATCCATACCCGCTACCACTTCCCTCATCCTTGCCTAATCCATACCCGCTGCCCCTTCCCTCATCCTTGCCTAATCCATACCCGCTGCCCCTTCCCTCATCCTTGCCTAATCCCCAGTTTTCAAGATGACGGGTCGTTGTTAGGCAGGAAAGTAGACACAGATGTACAAAAATAATAAGGCAATAGGAGCTTGAATAACGCTAAGAATATTTAACTCTAACATCGAATCACCAGTACTTGAGAGGCCTGAACGAGACGCTATGGTCCGACTGGATACATGTTGATAAAACTTGATAATATAATTAGAGCATCATTGAATTTACATGCACACTGAAAATGTGAAAGGAGAAAATTGGAAACACAGGGAAGCGGGAAGAGAAATGTAACAATGCATAATTGTAAAGGAGGAGCAGATGCGACAGTCAGGAGAACAACATATGTTGGTCGAAGGTCAATACTTCAATGAGAGACAGTATACTAATCAAACGGGTATGTAATGGTTGACATTAGAAAACAAGGAGACAGATTGGAAGATACACTAGACCAATCAGAAAAGTCGAGATGGCGCGCAAAAAATGTCTTCCTAAACATGTAGCCGGTTATGAAACGTAGTTTTTCACTTCCATGATTGTAATGGTAGGATTAACACATCACGGATGAAAATCAACAGATGTCGTATCAGTTAAAACTTGTATATATCTGTATTTGTCTTGTGTCTGTATTGATTAGCTGTTAGGTGAGCTGTAGGTGTTAAAGGCTGAGGAACACTGCACTAGAGAACATGAAAATCCAAAGTTATGTATTTTTACGTTGTCAACACAAGTCCATTCGTTTACTGTACTGTTTCTAGGGCTTCAAAGGTTCATCATCACCATTGTCTTTTTGTGCCATTGTATGTGACGTTGGTCTATTCCTTTATTCCCTTCTATCTAGTGCAGTCCATTCTATTATATGCATAGAATCCAATGCATCTTTGGCCTCTCTCATCAACGTTCGTTTGAGGGTTTCTTTTGGGGGTCCTCGATTCCTGTAATGGGGGATATTTTCACTCAGTTTAGGATGGTTGGGGGGAAGGCCCAAAGCTGACCTAAAACACCGAGATAGTCCAGATACTTGGATTAAACGAGAATCTGGAGATAGGTGACTAACCACTGGTTATCACGGGGACCACGATGATGCGACCCAAGGTCGCCACGTGAAAAGTAAAGGACCACCACGTGTTGTCACGTGAAACGAACCCGTGGTATAAGTCAGACTTGACTTTGGTAAAGTTTAGTTTGTGTCGACCTGTTGGAGTGAGAGAACGTGCGACTGAAAGTGAGAATGTCAACGTGAGAGTGATTGTGAAGAAAGGAGACCCTGCCGACGAAGTGTGAAGCCGAGATCGACCATGCCAGTGTGTGAGATGCCCAGAACCTCAACGTGAATCCATGGGAGCCATCTTTGGTCAGTGAATGCTTGAAGAAGACTGTTCGTTGAAGGCTGCGTGAGTTTGGGTACGAGAGCTGTTCACTAGGACACCGACCGGACATTCTGTTTTGTAAGTGTAAATACGTCAATAAATTCATGTCTCGTAAGCTCACATCGGTGTCGGCTTGTGCCAGTTGTGTAACGTGGAGCGTGTGAGAAGATCATCCACCACACACGCATGAACAGTGCCTAGACAACGAGAAGAAACACACACCACTTATTACACTTCCCAAGTCCCTTTATTTTTGGTTTTAATGCCAGTTTGGGGATTCTCTGCGTGTTTCTTCTAAGCATCTGTGCAATATAACGCCGTCTTTGTCTTTTAACTGTTGATGCCAGTGGTTGGCCAGACACTTATCTTATTTCTTCATCCCTGTTGTATAACTCCCATGTCCCTGTTGAATAACTCCTATATCCCTGTTGTTTAACTCCCATGTCCCTGTTGAATAACTCCCATGTCCCTGTTGAATAACTCCCATATCCCTGTTGAATAACTCCCATATCCCTGTTAAATAACTCCCATATCCCTGTTGAATAACACCCGTGTTGTGTTCTACGTTTTCTAAAGGCACTTGTTTTTAAATGCATTTAAATATGATTCTCCAACTTTCACTGGCTTATGCTTCTTCTTCTTAAAGTACGTGCCGTGTGGCGTTGGTAGTCATTAGTTAGTTAGTAGGGTTATCATCATTGCACTCCGGACATGTCCATAGGTGCTCAGATCCTCCCCTCAGTATGAACCCCAACTTCCGATCGCTAATAGTACCAATTCTATGTTGATTAACAAGTCTTCTGGTGTGTCTGGTACGCGTCTCGTTTTTTGCTGCGCCGATCTTAATTCACAAGTCTGCAATTATGGCGAGTGATGTAGATT